TATTTTATTTAAAAAGTTTTCAAAATAATTTGTAATTATCTAAAGTTGATCTCTTATCAAATATGATCTTCTACCTGCAGCTACGGACGCAAGGCAACGCTCGTGGTGGCAGGTGTTTTGAGCGCAATTACTGGACTGGCTCGCTCGCATACCGTTGGCTACTATAGCTTTCTGCTGCTTGAGTTTCTGTCGATGTTTGTGGGCAGCCCGCTCTTTTACATTGCCCTGCTGCTGGCTGTTGAGCTGGTGGGCTGTAAGCAGCGTGTGTTGTTTGGCATGATCATCTCGCTGACCTACGCCGTAGCCGAGGTGGCACTGGGCTATTTGGCCAGTCTAATACGGAACTGGCGCGTGCTGCTGCGCGTCATCTACACGCCGGCGCTGCTGCATCTGCTTTTCATCTGCTATATGTCCGAGAGTGTGCGCTGGCTGTTGAGCCAGTCTAGGGAGCTGGAGGCGGTCGATATTCTACGCGACGTGGCAATCGTAAATCAGCGGCAGGTGAACGAAAGGGAGCTCAGCGATATGGTGCGCCACAACCGCAAGGTGATATCCCAGACGCGTGCAGCTGGGGGTCATTACACCGCCCGTCAGATCTACAATGCACTCGGCCATCGCACGGCCACGTGCTGCGGGCTTTGGCTGATCATTGTATTTATATCCATGGGTCTGACCCTGAACTCCATGGAATTGTATGGCGATAAGTATCGTAACTTCGGCTTGTCGGGTCTAGTGAAGCTTCCCGGCGTAGTGTTTGCCATGCTGCTAATGAATCGCCTTGGCCGCCGCTGGACGTTGAATCTGTGCATGGGCACTTGCTCCATATCGCTTTTATTAATGGTGGCACTGATCAATGGTGAGAGCTGCGATGATCAATCTATTATTATAGTATTCTAAATCCCTTACCACGTTTCTCTTAGAGTATCCAACAGTGTCGTGGCATCTCTTCTTTCTGGCTCAAATGGCCAACATTGGCAGCCACATGGTACTCATTTTCTTTACGGCCGAATTGTTTCCCACCAGCTGCCGCAGCAGCCTTCTTGCCCTCTGTTACATGATCGGTAGGATCGGAGCAATGTTAGCGCCCAGTGCTCAACTCTTGGTAGGCTCATACCGTTGCTAGATTGCCGCCTTATTAACTGGATCTATTTTAGATATCCTATTACAAATATACGCCCCACTTGCTGTTCGCTGCCCTCGGCATACCCAGCTCGGTGCTAAGCATGCTCTTGCCTGAAACATCTAACGAGACCCTGCCGACGACCATGGAGCAGGCCTGCGCCCTGGACCTTCATTCATCGAGGAAATCATCTGTTTCACACAGTACTGGTTAATCAGTTAGTGAGGCAATGCTAGGCTATGTTTGGTCTCAATAAATATTTGTTTTATATATTTATAACGTTTCAGAGAATGACGAGTTGAAATTTTTATTTTTATTTTTATTTTAGTTAAATTTTGTAACAAGTTATTTCTTGGTAAATGGCGCCATGAAAAAAATGTTTATTGCTCCGCATTAGCTGGTGCATTCTTCTCTTAACTGGTTAGCGAATTTTTCTTTTGTAATACATCTATTATGAATTTTTTCTGTTGGAAAAAGACTAAATTTAGAGATGTCTAATTTAAGATATAATTATAGGAATATATGGGTACATATATTTGAGAGTAGACTCTCTAAACACAGAAATACGATAGTTTGTATCTTGTTAATTAGAAATAGTTTGTTTGACACTAATCAGGCATGGCAGGCCGTATAGAACTAGTCGAAAACTTGTTAAGTGGCTCAAACGGGAAAATCCCTTGAGTTATTAACGAGCACTGAACGTGTATTTTTAATTTTTTAATTGCCCTATGGTATTCCATTTATATTTTTAGTCAGACAATTCCTCCATCTAGAATAAATGTACACTTACCAAATACACACTCAATTACTAGCTAATCTTATCATTTGATATTCGTAAATAAAAATCATTTAATATAGAAACTGTAAGCGAAGTTTACTGTTTCCCCAATCAAACCAGATTTGTATATCAATAAACTGATTTATCATACATGCATATATTATTTAATATTAAAAAAAAAATCGAAATACATAATCTGCTGATAATCATATACTATAATATATATACACAATATGAGAATTGTAAATTATTTTTGGTTGATTAATTGTGGTGACTTTGTTCATATCTTCATATCTAAAATCTGAAAGCAGTAATAGAATTGTTAATGTTATTGATGGTAGCACATGCAAAAATAGCAATTTAATTACATATCACGGCAGGCGCCGCGTTGCGTAGCAGACATTTTGGCGGGGCGGCAACACATTGCCAATTGTACAATTGTAATTTGACGATGTATAGACGCTATCAATCAAGTGGTGCTGAAGCCATTTATGAGTCTTTGATTCATATAACCCAAAAAGAACAACAATCAACTATATAATCGGCCAGACGAGCTGATAACGTTATGATAAGAGCAGCCCATTGAAGCAGTGCATGTAGTAAAAGTGACGGAGAGCGGGTGCCGAATATCGTATCTGTAGCAAGCATGCCGTAAAGTTTCGTAATCAGGCAGAAGCGAAACAAAACAGAGCACACAACTAGCGATGGATGGCGAGAGACAGAGAGATAGAGTGAGAGACTGAGAGCGAAAGAGCAAAGGACAAGACCGAAAGAAAAATACTTTTTGGAACGATTTTTCGTATGGTTAACAATAATGTTTAATTTATATGAATTTTCTTTTATTTTATTTTTTTTTGTAAATATTGGTATTTATATATTTATATCTGCATATATTGTGGTATATATTTATTTTGATATATGCCAGAATGATATAATCGAATAATAAAATAATCTAAGTACTTGTGGTTTATTTTTGACAAATAAAAATAGGTTTTAAGAAATTAAAAAATCCGGTTTTAAGTAGTAGCATATACTAAATTATACTATTCTATTATTTTAATAAACAATTTTAATTTTTATTATGATAATATTAATAGAAAATAAAAAATTCAAGCCCAAATTTGTGAAAATATTTGTAATAATTTTTAAAATGGTATATTGTATTAAAATGATTTTCTTTTTAACACTTTTTTTTTTAAATGTATTATGTAGTACCTATATATATTAGATTATCTACAAAGACAAAATTGATAAAAATTATATTGTGTCACATATCACATGCAACAAGCGCTCAACTCTCAGGGTAGTGCATAATGAGTTTTGCCTAAAATAAAAACTGGTTGATGTGGTGGTCGCACGCCATCAGATCAGTCATTGATCGGCAATGCTCAGCGTCGGACACTCCAGGCGACGAGACGCGTGTGCCCATCGAATACATAAGTGTAGGAGCTCTCATTCGAACTTTGGGCTATAAAAAGCTGACGTTCCTCTTCAGGGTATATTAATAAAACGTTAGCAATCTTCGAGTAGATGAAAGGTGCATTCAACCACGTAGATCGGAAGTAGTCTGAGTGAACGTCTTATTCATGTTAGATTATAATAACGGAATTCAAGTGGAGTATCGCTATCGTGCACATGTCGGACGAAAAGCAGAGTATAAATGGCGCGGCCTCAGCTGTCGTCGAGAATGAGTGCCCGACGACGTCCAATGGCCATCTCTTTGGACCGGAAACGGAGGCTGGGAGAGTGGAGGCGTCCGCCGAGGAAGATAACTCACTGGATGCCATTCTGGTGCGAATTGGGCAATTCGGGCGCTTTCAGTTGATAAATTATGCTTTACTGTGTGTGCCCATGGTGTTCAACGCTTTCTTCTCGATCTCTTACGTCTTCACCGCCAGCACTGTGGTGCAGAGGTAAAGCAATGCTCTCCGACCACATGTTGTTCTCACTCACGCACGTCCTCTCTCTCTCTCTCTGTCTCTCTTGCTCTGTCTACACCCGTTTTATATATTTAGGTGTAATATCACACAATGTGATAGTCCGGACAGTTTATATGAGGCGCCGTGGCTGAACTTTACGGTGCCGTATAAGAACTCCGCTTGGGATTCATGTAGTCGTTATGTGAGCGTACCGGAGACACAGTCCCTGTCCTCTAGCTTGCCCTCAACCGAGTTCTGCTCAGAGGAATATTTTGGCAACAAGACAGAGAGTTGCGGCACAGATTTCAAATTCCGTGATGAAGAGAAAACCATATCCACAGAGGTAAAGCATTTAAGTATAATAATTATATTATATGTTATAGTCAAATTGATATCAAATCTCTTTAAATATTTTTTATTGAAAATATATGTAAAATATGTATATACCTATATTTTCCGTGTTGTCTGTGTGAAAGAGTGAAAATAATTTGTTAGTTGTTTTTATTTTAAATTGAATTTCATTGAATTGGTATTTGTTAATTTATATACATATCGCTGCCTTAAGAGCACAGCACGACGAATTTGCGTACCTGACTTTAGAAGCAAATTCCCTAAAATTTAAATTTGTAATCACTTGCGCATATATCAACCTTTATTTTCCCTTTTAAAACTATTTGTTCGTATTCAAAACGTGCTTTGTGCCTTGTTTCCTTCTACTATATGTGAATTGTAATTGAAAGCAAATGTCAAACAATTTTTTGCTCGTAACTGTATCTAATCATATTTGGGTGTTTATAGAATAGATTATGTGTTAATCTTGTGCTGTGAATCAGGGATTTCGCTGCGACTTGAGCTATGTAGTTCACTTGCTTATTCGTGATTAAAAATTGAAAGTATTTTTAGCTCTTCTTTCAAAGCTTATTTATCACTGATATTTTTGTTTATTGCTTATTAATTTGATGTATTTAAATAAACCAAACAAATATATTTGTCTTTATTTTTCTGTTAAGTAAATGAGAAGGCCTAATATATAACGTTCTAAAATTAATAGATTATTCATAATAGAAGTAGTATTATGATTTTTGTTTTATTAATTAAGAAGTTCTATTCTTTGGTTATCTTTTATTTTTAAATATACTAT